GAAATTAAATAATTTCCCAACACCATTTGCTTGTATTTCTCTGTTTTCAGACATTTCTCTACCTTTACCTTTGACCAGATACAAAAGTTAAGACAACTTCCGAGTTGCGACCTGTCAAACGTGACCCTCTATATATATAAAGGAATAAACAATCAATGCGTCACTGCAATCAAGCAACTATCTAAATTGGTTAGTTTTATTACAAGACAACAATTTTTCCGTTCAGTCGAGTTCGGTCTGATTCTATCTCTTTTCTTTTCGTACTCATCTTTTCCATTGAAGAAATGGTGGAGTTTCTTGGGGGTAGTTCGATGAAATTCTTAGCATATTTTGTTTTCGTTTGTTGGTTTACTGTTCCACCGGTCGAAGGTAGAGTTCGCCATTACAAATGGGAAGTGAAGTATGAATTTAAGTCACCAGATTGCTATAAAAAGCTTGCTATTACCATCAATGGACGAACCCCGGGGCCGAGTATCATTGCGCAGCAGGGGGATACAATTACTGTAGAGCTCAAGAATAGTTTGTTAACAGAAAATGTTGCAATCCACTGGCATGGAATAAGACAGGTTACTTTCTGATTCTTGTTTATCGTTTTCGTTTTTGGATACAAAACTTGATGAAAATGAGGTTTGAGTTCATGGATGTCAGCTAAAGGATTCGTGTTTTTCGCAGATTGGAACACCTTGGTTCGATGGAACAGAAGGGGTGACACAGTATCCTATTCTGCCTGGAGACACCTTTGTGTACAAGTTTGTTGTCGATAGAGTACGTTCTTCTTTAATTAAACCTTTGTGACTACTTTTGAATCGTCCCGCATAACTCGTGGAAAGATGTGTCAGTTTTAGGGCGGAATCAAATGAAATTTCGGTTGTTGGTTCAGTATTTCACTATGTTTTTTCCTTGTTCTGCAGCCAGGGACATATTTATACCATGCACACTATGGTATGCAAAGAGAAGCGGGGCTATACGGATCAATTTGTGTATCGCTTCCCGATGGAGAATCCGAGCCTTTTTCGTATGATTATGATAAAAGTATAATCCTTACTGATTGGTATCACGCCAGCAGATATCAACAAGCTGCTGGCCTCTCTTCAATACCCTTTGTCTGGGTTGGAGAACCTCAAGTAAGTTTATCCCAACCTAATCCCCGTCTATGATGACTATAATTGCATCCAACATCGTTAAGACTTAGAGAACTTCTATGTTACTTTTTAAGCACAATAAAACATGCTCATTGGCAAATCCAGGAGTTCATTTGAGCTTGGGCGGTTGCTTGACATTGCTAGAAAGGCCACCCAGTTTCTGAGACCCGGTTTAAGTAGTAGTTATATTACATATGAAATCGAACGAGATTGTGTGCACGTGCCTAATGAATTTCTCTTAAATTTTCAGTCTATTCTGATACAAGGCAAGGGAAGGTTCGATTGCAGTACACCAGGCATTCAAGCAGATCTTTGTAGTGCCACAAATCCTGAATGTACACCTTATGTACTGACAGTGATTCCTCGAAAAACGTATCGACTCCGAATCGGAAGCCTAACCGCCCTATCAGCATTGAGTTTTGAAATTGAAGGCCATAACATGACAGTAGTTGAAGCTGATGGTCACTATGTTGAACACTTTGTAGTCAAAAACTTGTTCATCTACTTCGGTGAGACATATTCTGTCCTAGTTACGGCCGATCAAGATCCTTCGAGAAACTACTGGGCAAGTGTAAAAATTGTAAGCAGGAACAGCAATACTACAAATGGTTTAGCCATCTTCAATTATTATCCGAACCATCCACAACGAAACCCTCCAACGGTCCCTCCTCCCGGTCCACATTGGAATGACATCGAACCACGACTGGCTCAAAGCATTGCAATAAAATCACACAAAGGTTACATCCATCCTCCTCCTCAGACATCTGACCGAGTGATAATCATGCCCAATACACAAAATCGTATCAACGACAATGTCCGTTGGTCAATCAACAATGTCTCGTACAACCTCCCACACACGCCATATCTCATCGCGCTTAAGCACAACTTAACACATGCCTTTAACCCTTTTCCTCCCCTGGAAGGGTACGACTTTGCAAACATTGTAGAAATTGTAAGTTGGAACAGCAATACTACTGATAGTTTTGCCATCTTCAATTATTATCAAATTTTCCTACCGGATATTTTTGTATTTTTTAATCCGTTCTTTTTAGTGTAAACGAGTCAATTTGTACTTCGAAAAATTGTATAAGCAAGCTTTAAATTTTTTTTTCTATTAAATCGTTGATCTTGTCGATACCAAGCAGAGTCTTCAAGTTTTAAATTGAGCTTTGACTTGAAATCTCTGGTTTTTTATTTTGTTTTTTCTGAAATGGCGGTTAATTCAAGCGAAGAGGTGAGATTCTTCGTTTTCTTAACATGGGTTTCTTGTTATTGTGTATTTTTTGCTATAAAATTGCTTTTTTTTGTTCGAAGTAACACACTAAATTAAATGTGGTTTCTAAATTTACTTTCTTGCAATGTAGAATTCTTTCTTGTATAAGCCTGCCTGACTGTGAGACCGACCGGTCGAACAAAGACGAAAGTCGGCCATAGTGATCTTTATTTTTTGGTGATTCTGTGGTTTTTCCTTGAGTTTCTCTAGTTTATTAGTCAATTACGGATTGAGGATTAAAGTGGAAAAATATAGGTGGAACGGAGTCGGAGTCCCATTGCTTTTAACTATTTAAACACAATGCACACTGGGTGTGGGGTTCGGGAGAGGAAAAATACTTGACCAAAGTGCACACTGGGTGTGTTTGTGCTGAGAAGTCGAATTATAAAAATTGATTCATGGCCAATATTTATGTATTAGTCGTCAAAGTTTCGTGCTCGGGTAAGTTCAAAAGATTTACTTATTAGATTTTTTTTTTCTAGGTAAAAATAATTGGTACTTGCATCTAAATAAGTCACTTTTTTTACTTTAATCTAAAAAGATATATTTGTCCAAGCAAGTATAAAATAAATTATCTAAAGGTTTAAGCACTTACGTGTCACGTAAGTACAAACTATTTGTAAATTTCCTTTATTTTGCATGCTTCCTACTTGAGTAACTCGAGTTCCCACCAGTAAAATGAGTTTCTATTGGGTGAATTGAACAAAAAAGTAACGAGATTAATAAGGGTCGGTCCTTAACTAATGTATTCGTATCTGTACAAGACAAACTTTCTACAAGTGACACATAATTTATTATTAAGAATTATGATCAAGTAATCTAAAATTAGTAATTACGATTGACCTCTCATTAAAATTGATGCCTATGGCTGCTGTTTTTCAAAAGATTGATTCATAGATCCATTTTTCGATTAGAAGTATCTTTCTGTCAGCAACATAGTGAAAGCTTCAACATGTAATGTTTGTTTAGAATTACCAGTTAATCGTTACAAATAGTAAAACTTTTCTTAAGTGAACTTTTTTTAACCCGAAATTCATATGAAAGAATGTTCAATAATCTACGTTTTCACCTTCTCTTTTTTCTTTTCTTTTTTTTTTTTTTTATGTCAAAATTGTTGGAGATTGGAATAAGTAGGTACATCAAGACATTCTAACTAGGTCAACACTTTTTTAGCACCATCATCATCATCATCTATCCTTTTCAAAATTTTGGCTTCAAAGTCGATCTTTATACAAATGCAAATCACAAAAAAAAAAAAAAAAACATAGAATAAAATTTATTGACCCAACACTTCATTTATTATTATTGCCAGGATTTCATATATATTTCACATCAAGGCTTCCCTACAATGTTGAAAAAGATAAAGTTCATATTCAACATCATAAGATAATAACTATCGTATATGCAATTGTGTGTTGAAGGTTGACTTAAGCACGTAACAAAATGAATTACAGCGCATAGGTTTTCCCAATAATCACTTTAATTCTTCACTTTAGTATACAGCACGTATACAAGATGGATTATTGCTTTAATTCTTCACTTTAGTATTTATTTATTTATTTGATTTCTTACTTTTAATTTTTATATCATTTCCTCCACTTCCAAGTTACAAATGTGAAATTATGATTTTGCGAGTTACGAGATTTTTTCCCATTTAGCTAAATATATACACACACCACTTTTTCTTATAAACTCGATCACAATTTAATTGTATAAGAGATCTATAACATTTATTCATTGTCGAACTTATGACTTCAACTCTTTTTATCATATTCTTATCTTCGACCTTTAATTAATTAGCATATCTTGTGTTTTTATGATGATTTTTGTCCAAATATAATTTTGTTAAGAGGGATTAAAAAGACTTATTTAAGCAATAAATAATAATTACAAATTTTCAAGTACATATGTATCCCAATTATAGGCGAGCCATTCCTCTATTCAAACTGGCTAAATTGAAACTCTACTTTTGTTTAATTATAGAACAGCTATGGAATCCGATTGACCATAATTATATTTGGAAACGTTGATTACATTTTCAAAATATGTGGCTATATACATAGATGTATTCGACCATGTATTCTATTTTTTTAAAGTGGGAGTTATGTCATCTCTAAAAACTTGTGTGACAGTGTCCAAACGTTCATGTGAGATTCCAATTTTACCCTTGCTATACATGTTCAAAAGATGTAATTGCCCTTATCATTTTTCCTTTAACGGTTAGATCATGATCATTTTCGATATTGCATAAAATTTGATGGTTAACACATGCAACACAAGTAACCGAATGACAAATAGTTTAACCAAAATTATTGTCATTGAGGCTCACACACATCCAAGAAAATTAGCGATGTCGAAATATCTCCATTAGATCCTTTTTGGTTTTTAATATTTAACAATTAGAATAAATTGTGGAGGAAATGATGCGTGTTTGTTGAAAAATGGACTTGTCGTTGTCATATTTTGTTGATACACAAAATGTACAGCCCAATTTAAATGGCCCAAGAAAGGAAGCCTAGTCAAAGAGGTCAAGATAAAGGCTCAATCAAGAATGTCGAAGGCCCACAAATAAAGGGACATTATCGCCCAAGCCTGCACAAACGCTCAGAGGTTGAGCGAATGAAGTACATTATGGTCGCCCGATGGAAGAGCCAATTGTCGCCCAAACAGTCGAATTGCCCAGAAGCCTAGTGATGATTAATTCCTATTATCACGATTTAAAGTGGTTTGAGCATGTCACGACTACACCCCACGATTTGAGAAGTTTACATGGCAAACGGTTATGAAGAAAACGTGGCGACAGGAGTTACGAATGGTAGTTATTAGCCAGTCAGCCATTACGAAGGAAATGGGTAGTTGTAAGTAGTTTCCAAACGGTTAAGAGATGGCCCAAAGAATATAAAAGAAAGAAGAAGACAATGAAGAAACCCCGACAAAATTCATTCTCAAACAGAGAACATGTAATTTCCTTTTTCTTAGATTAGTTTTAATTAATTCACTTTTTCCGTTTTTCGTACTCGTGTGCTTACGCCCCTTGGAGGCATCTTGTTTATATTCAAATTTGTAATCTTCAAGTTCGATAAACACTCATATTTGAAACTTTGTTCCAAGAGGTTTGTTCCTTACACAATCGTCTGACTCTCTTTTAATTGTTAGCGACAAATCCACGCGAAACATATTTATTCGAATTGGTTAAAGAGACAACAGGAACATTATAATCCCATCAATCACTGGTAAAAAAAAAAATTATATAAAATTCACCATCTAATTAAGCAACTATTTTTATGTGAACAAAGTAATTTTTTTTTACACTAAATTGAAAATGTCCTATCTATCCTTTGCTCTTTAATCCAATTGGATATTTCCAAATTTAAATTGACATATAATTCAAATACTTATCTAACCCCGCCTGGATAATGACCCGGCCGAGTCACCGATTCAAATGGTGAGTTGATGTTAGTTTTTAAAAATAATTAATCAAACTCATTGAACTATTTGCATTTTTTTTTTTAGTCTTTGAAAATAAAATAGAAGTGTTGATCACAAAAATAATGAAATTGGTCGCTATTTGTTTTTCATGTACAATATATTGACAATATAAAAAAAATTTGTAAGTTGGGGATAATATTTGTTTACTTTGGTTAATAAATAGATATGTCATTCAGATTCAAAAGAGCCAAAAATAAGAAGACCTACAAATAGAAAAAAGTGAATTATAAAGGTCAAGAAAAGATTAATTTTCTAATTTCAGGTGCCTTTTTATAGACGCGTTTAAAAAAAGATAAACATGGAGAAACAGTAAAAGATTATATTATGGGATTAGGTCACCGAACTTAGGTGTCCAATACACCCCCCACAACCAACTCAACCGACTGAAAAGTACGAGGTTAAAATAATGAGTAATGCTATTCATCCCCATTGGGGATGAAAACACAATCTACGTGACGTTAATGTGGCATTAAATGATAGGTAAAATTAAATAAGTCATTTAATTTCACCTTTCATTTAACCTATCATTTAAAACCACCTAAACTATGTTTTCATCTTCACTGGGATGAATAACATTACTCTAAAATAATGCCAGAATGTCTAAATCTAGGTCGGCCTATAAGCTAAGCAAGGTGTTCTGTTGGATTCCATGTTGCAAAGTCCATGTTTGATCAGTTAAAAAATTGATTAAAATATAAATAATTAATTTTAATAACATATTTTATAAGATTCATGACTTTTCAATAAAAAATAATTTTTTTTATATACTTTTTCTGCCTCGATAGTTTTCTCTTAACAAGGATCTTGTGATCGAAACAAAAGCAAATGTGTCCCAATTCCCAATAGAATTCACCCTATAGGCTCATCATTATGCTGTATGCAACGTGAAGGACTAGCCTACTGTATTCTTCTCGTGTAATGCTTAAGACATCCTTGGATCAAGCATTCACAATGATTAATTTTGGTAAATTTCAAAAGGCCCGACGCACCGGTTTGTTGTCAAAACTGGCTGGTTCGTATGGTTAAACCCTACTTTGATGGTCAAATGGTACCAATACACTGATTAACTAGATCAGGAAAGGGACTGATCAGAAAAGAGAAAGCCATAAAAATTAAAGAAATTGAAATTATTCACAATTAAGGGACTTCATGCGATTCTCTTTTTTCATTTTATATTTCTGAAACGTATGCTTTTGATTTTTTCCCAATGCGCTAATATTAACTTTTTAACATTGAATTCAAGCTTTGAGCTATACTTTTCTTCATGGGATATTTAATATATTTAAATTGTTGTTCCCCAATAGAATGCACTTTAGGCTCATCATTATGCAACATGAAGGACTACCCCACTGTATTCTTCCTTGGATCAAGCAGTCACAACCGCTACGAGAATTCTACTTTATTTAGGACCTTGACCATGTTATATATATATATATTCTTTTATTGACTCTAACTTATCTCAAACTTATCCAAATTTAACTTCCATCGAGTTTAAAATACATGATTTAATTTGATCTATCCAAGTTCAGATTATAACTATATGATTTTCTCGCTCTATCAATATTTAATTATTTGGTCAAAATAAAATTTATTTTATTGCTTATTTCACTTAAATTCCTCAACAAAAAA